GGAGGCGGGGGAGGCGGGGGGCAGCCGGCCGCCGGGTCTGCTGGTCGTGGGCGCCGCGTGCGAGGCGCTGTTTGAAAGGGAGAAGGGCCGCGCGTGGGTCGTCGAGGACGGATTCAGGGGTCTCGACTCGGGGCCCGACGACAAGTGGATGGCCGGTTTGCAGAGCGCCATGGATGGTGATGCTTGAAACTACGCATTTGCAGGTTTCGTTTCATGGCCGTGTTTTTGGACCCGAGGGACACACACTGGCTGGAATAGTCCGTTTTCATCATCAAAACACCCGGAGTGAAAGGCGGGTTACGTACGTCGTACACACAGCATAGCTTGGAGTTGGGCATATCATGGGCATTCAAACTTCTGTAGAGTACATCCCTTCACATGTTTTCCAAATACCTTGCGAGACTGCAGACTCCTATTTCGAAAAGTAAAAAGGAAAAAAATCCAAACGGCCTACTGCCACTCCACCTGTTGCGGGGCTCAAGTAACTCTCAAGAGCGACTTATTCGCCCCCATGTGTGTCTTGTGCTGCCGCCACAAACAATGTACAAGTCTATGCAACATTTCTACAGACAAATCTTCTCTTCTCTGTACCAAAACTGGCACAGTTCGCAAAATGCTATTCACCATTTTTGCGTGCATTTCAAGAATATATACAGCCCGAATATATGAGACAAGAAAAAAAAAAGATGCCCTTCCAAGGCTCATGAAAGCCGCCACCAAAATCCCGTGTGCCGAGTTTACCACGTAAAGCTCTCCTCGATAAAGTCAACAACGGTTTCGCCCTGGACCGCCCGTACAGCACCTCGTACGTCATCTGCAAGGGCGCCGGGGCCGCAGACCGTCACCACCATGGCACCAACTTGCTCTTGGACCTCCTTGGATACCAGAAGTGGGATGTTTGGCCGACCGGGGAACAACTTGACGGTAGTACTGCTGGCCATGACGTCGCGGACGTTTTGTGGACGAGTCACAAACACCTGAATGCGAAGGATGTCCTGGCGATTTGGTATGCGCAGGATGCTGTCCATGTATGGGCGCACCCATTCCAAATGTTCATACTCTCGGATGATCCACACCAAGGTTAGTCGTCGAGTAGCCACGGTGCCGGCGTTATAACCCTCCAGGTGGTGCTTGAGGTACGACAACTGATGTGTGATACCGGTCGAGCCAGCGAAGAGCAAGAGATGTCCATATGAGTCGAGGTTATGATGTCCAGCATATGGTCCTTCCATGGCTGCTCGGATGGTGATGCCCCCAGGGGACATCTGGGCCTTGGTAAAGAGCTCTCGGGTAAGCCCAGTCTGCGCTCCGATGACAAACGACACGCAAGTCGTGGCTTGCTTCTTATCCAGGACGCCGTGCACAGGCTCCTCCTTCTCGTACGTGGGTAACAAGTGATCGGCACGATGCTCGATCCAGGCGATGGAAAATGGATGACACTCCCAAGACCTGATGCCTGAAAAGCGCAAGTAGGCGTGGGTGCCTGGCGGGATGGTTTTGTACCGTGGAAGCTTCAGAATAACCCGAGTTACCTCACCCGGCATGGCTTCACAAAAGGCGTCTGTGAAGCCCTTCTTTGACCAATTGTTGTACGCCAGTCGAAAAAATCGAGCAAACCGATCAGCAAACCACAAGGCCATAATGCCCATGATCCACGACATCTGCGGCAAACCGCCCGGTACGCTGGCCGTTGCACAATGAATCCAGGTGCAAACGAAGACGACCAGGGCAAGGAAGATGTGGAGATTGAGAAATGTTTCATAAAAGGCGTGGCGAAGAGGCGAGACAGAGGCGATTAGCAAAGCAACCATGGCAAGCGTACCAACGAGACCCGATGCAATAAATGGCGTGCCGATGAGGGATTTGAAAACGCCTTCCCAACCTCTGTCAGCTACGGCTGGAATCGTCCATGCGATGGTGTGGAGGACCGCCTCTGCAACGACAATGCGGCCCATCCAACGGTGCAAGAGGTTGTACGTGTCAAAGCTGATTTTGAGCATGGATATCAGGGGATTGTTGCGACCTGCGAAAATAATCAGTGGCACCATGTTGACAAGCGCCAAGGTGCCGGAGCGGCCTCGCAGCTCTGCACACAAGGAGTACTTGTTCGGAATTGACCAGTCGAGCGCAAACATGTAGGCAACATTGCTTCCAAGATAGCCAAGGATCACCAACATGTGAAGTCGGGAAGGCAGGGTGCCCACGTTGACAGCGGATGAGAGCTTAAACTCCCGATTGTGTCGCTTCTTCCAGAGAGGGGCATAAGTGAGGTGCTTCTTGACGCCGGGCATCCAACTAAATTGCGACGTTTTCCAGTAGAGCTGTTTCTCTCGCGGAACCGTCATGGCTGACACTTGTCGGAGTTTTGCCCACAGAAGTTCCATGATGCGAACAACTAGCACCGCAATGCCGGCAATACCCAACGTCCACCAGAGAACATCACGAAAGAACAGGTTCATGGGCTGATTGACGCCATTTAGCGCGGTATAAAAGGGGGCAATTGTTGAACTGGGCTGTACCTGTTCAGATCCGGGCGATCCCCTAGACTCCAAAGTCTTGGTTACGTCCATCTTTTTCTAGATTTCAAAACGTGGCGAGCCAGCGCCAGCGAAAACGGGGGGGGAAAGGGAGGAGAGTCGAAGGGATCGAGGAAGAAGGAAAAGGAAAAGTGGGATCCTTAAAGATTGGGTATATATGAAAGGGCAGATTCAAAGAATTCAGGGAAGAAACCTCTCGCGTGATGCCGTGCCTTTCTTGTTCAGAGACGAGACAGTTACCCGCTCCAACAGTGCTCAAGATCTCGTGGGCTCCACGGCGATCACTGTCGCCAGAACAGCTACAAAACCGCACCGGAGAAGGGCCAATGAACGCTCTTATGTGCTCAAGTCGATTCGCATCATGCGCGCATGGTGAAATGGATGAGCGGAAACAAGAGTGATCTGCAAGGCAATTCACGGCGAGAGGAGTGGTTCAATGTCGCCTCCAGGTTTCGACAAACGCGGGCACCAGATTTGCAGTGACCACGGTAGAAACACGAAACAATGTGGAAGGAGCGAACGAAACGGTGGCATGGATCGGCCAGCCGTTTCCGTGAAGGAGAGAAATGAGCCGTGTATCCGAAAACCAGCAAGTCCTCGTCGACGAGGTTCTCGAGCGGCTGTGAATAACAAGCAAAGTGAAGGAAAAGTGAGGGCACAGTCAAGTCAAAGTAAAGCAAGTGTTGACGGCAAAAACAAGGGAATGCTAGTGTGTCAACGGAATGCTCCGCGCGTGGAGTCACTCGACCAGACTCTGTTCCTGGTTTCTCTTTGGTAATAATAAATCCCTCGCCTCGCCCAAGGAAAGGCGAAGGATGGCGTCGGATGGCGTCTGTCGATCCAAGGGTCGTTGCCCACAAAACAGTCCAAACCAGGTAATGAGATGCAAGCCAGGACAAGTCGATGCGATAAAGTTTGCGGTTTTTTTATTTTTTATTTTTTTTTTCCTTTTTTGTCGAAGTTCGATGATGCTGGGGGTTTCAAGCAGCGCCAGGCTGTGGATGGAAGGGGTAGAATAAAGCAACGAGTTGCAAAAGTACGGCCAATGACGATTTAGCCGCAGTCCAGTGTAGCCTCGATTATTTCTCCTTGTCCAACCCGAGAAGGGATTTACGAATGTCTTATGTGGTGACGCCAAATGAGTGAATCAGAGACCAAGCAAACGAAGCTGCGTCCAGCCGCGCAGAGGAATGCCCAGGTCGACGAGTGGTCTTGAGACGAACCGGGGGGACGATGCTCTTGGTGGTCAAGATGGCCGGCGCTTAGCCAGGCAAATCTGGTACGGAATGTAAAACGTGAGATGCTTGGATGCAACGCCGGAATGGCTGGCGCGGAGGAAGAGGGAGGAGGAACAAGACCCGAAGAAGAGATCGAAGGAGAAAAGTGGACGATACATCCCAGATATGAAGGCAAAAAGCAAAGCACAATACCACAAAGTCGAGATCTGCTCTTGAACACGCCATGGGACGTGGACACTGGACGAAGAGCCGAACATTCCAACATGCTGGGTCAAACCCTGGGCACACCCTGGCAGCAAACAATGGAGACGTTAGGATGCACAGGTCGATCCAAGCAAGACCAGATGAAGAGTTTTGTGCACGGGCAAGAGATGGGCTTCAGCCCAACGACTGGCTGGCGCTGTGCTTTTCCTTGGCGCGGCGCGGGCTGTTCGGCAGGGGTTCCAAAACGAGTGTTGGCTGCCATTCTGAACGAGATGAATGATGAATGGGCACGACTGCGTGCTGCCATGTTCACGGCGTTGCCCTTTTGGTGTTCTGCGCCCCTCTTAGTCTTGTTCTTCTTCAGCGGCCCCTGAAAGCTTTCCCAAGGATGATTGTCTGCTCATGACTCTTTCTTTTTTCTTCCCCCTTTTTTTCTCTTTCGTTTTCTGCCATTGGCTGCGGACACCATTGTTGGCCATTGTGACGTTTTGTCGAAGCGCCACGGGAAGCGTCACGGTGCCGGTTACTCGACCAGATCCTACGCCGCCACGATTTCGACGGGTGCAGCTGCGTCTGGCTGGGAGCCCCGTGAATGGCTGGCCTGTTCTGGCTGACCATTGATTGGCCGCCAGTGGCTGACTGACGAGAGGCCCTGAGTCCCTGACTGGCTGCCACCCAACTGCCCCAACGTTTGAAACTGCCCCCTGCCGCCGCACCCCGTCGTCCTGTCAGGGACAGCCTGGGCACGCCGCGGCTGGCACATGCGCAGGTTCCATGGTGCACGCTAAGTGGCGGGTGGCTGCTGGCACTGGGGCCCTGGCCCCTGGGGGCTCGCTTGGATCACATGCAGGGGAACGAACTTCAATGTTGAGCGTACCAAAAGTTCGGCGCCCCTCCAGCCCCCATTTCGCCAACCTCACGAAAGCACGCAGACAAGCAGAATATTCCGTCCCGTCATAGTACCACGCATCTCTGCAGTCGTCCGTCGTCTTCAAACCGCCGAAGTTATGCAAATGACGTCTCCGTGTCCAACGACCTTTTCCGCAGGCCCTCTACACCGCATTGCCGTGCCGTGGTTTCCGAAGAAGCGTCACCCGCCAGTCGCCAGCTCTAGACTCTATCCATCTCCTTCATAGCTGAGGCAGATTCCATCCCCGACATGATCGTGGAATCCCATCACCGAAACGACTTACCATCGTGCCATTCATATTTCGTCCTTGGAACCGAGAACGTGCGTGCATGGAGTGTTGTACGCATCATATGGTTGTGTATTGTATTCATTCATTCAGGTCCCATGTTTTGCTTATGGCCCTCAGTCCTGTCAATCTGTCACTTTCTTGGCTCTACCATTTTTTTTCCAGGTTCAGTGTCCCCTTTTGCGGTACCAAATTATTTCCAATATGGCTCACGGTTGGCGTCATCTTCTAACGTACAGTGCGCCGCGTCCTCTACCGATCCTCAGAGGCTCTGGTCCTTCAGATTAGTGTCGCTGCTTCTAGCTCCATTGACAATTTCGCAATGCAGTGCTAGCTGGAGATTGAAGCCGGTATCTGTGACTTGAATTGTCAGTGATCTGTAGGCTGTAGCTATCCCTTGGTGCGCCCCTGGATCCCAGCTGCCCAAGGTCCTGCCATAGGAAGTACTGAAGAAAAGAGGCTTTGAACAGTTTTCCCGGCTCGTCAAAACACATACGCCATCACAGTCCACAGTCACTTGGAAATCCCACGACTCTATTGGATCTCCTTTTGATAGGCTAGAAAGCTAGATTGATTGGTGGTTGGCTTGGCGTCGACCATAGAGAAAAAGCGGAGCAGACCGACAGACAGTGGAATTGGACTTGGTACTTTCTACAGGCATGCTCCAGAGCAGCACAAATGCAATAGACCACTCCGAATAATAGGCCCAGTCTGCAATGCAGCTGGGTCACCGAGAGCACAGACCATACTTTAAAGGTTCAAATGTTGTCATCCAAACCGCGGTTCGGGCGACTGACTGAGAGACTTGACAGCGTGCTAGCTGTATTGGGTATCCGGTCACGCAAAAAGCGGAAATTAGATAATGCGCACAGCCATGGGTGCCCAGGGCGCCCCCTTTACCAGCAGCGCTTTAATTCTCTGTTTTGAAGATTAATCAAGGACTTGTATCAATTATACGGAGTAACTACTCCGTACATACCTAGTACCTAGCACTCTTCGTATCTTCCGTGCCTGCCGTCGTGTGACAGATGCACTGGACCCAAATGGGTGATATCTCTCAACGCCTTTCATGGTGGTTTACGCCCCAGGGCCTTGAAAATCAGGAGGCATCACAACATCAATATATTACTGCTGTTGAGTAGGTACTCCATTCACATCCTTCTATATTGGGGAGCAGCTGACCTTGCTCAATTCCTAACAGTTTGCATCATGCATTGGAATAATAAGTCAACCCTGAAATATTTTCCCGAGCTTCTATCAGAGGCCTATCGGAACAACCGACTCGAGAACGTGAAAAGACCTCTCTTCAGGAGTTATGTAGGTCATTAGCTTTAAATATGTCGGTAGAGTTCCCAGATAAAGAGTGGCATACAAAATCAATCGAGAATAAACACCAATATTTGCGGACCATGACAAGGCATTTCGCGATGCAGCGGAGCCGCCTGGCACAACGTACAATTCGGAAACAAAGACGCTGCGCATGAGCAACCACGACATCCATCTAATTCGATCAAAATACCCGAAATACAGCAAAGCAATCACCTCGCAGCCATTACTAACAAATAACACGATTGACTATAAATTTTCTCCGAGGCTCCAGCCGGCCAATACATTTCCAAAGCCCATGCTATCAAAAGTCTTTCGTCTATTGGTAGTCAGCTTCAGGGAACCAATAGTCAGGGTGATGCCCTTGAAAGCCAAGAGGCCACAGAGTCCAGCATTGGCGATACAAATGCCGTGGTAGCTAGTGACGGCAGGCGCGTTGGCAATGTCTTAACGCTGTAGTGTGGAATTCTCTCTTGTCACATGAAAATGGCGTGGACAGCTTCAGATTTTGGTGAAGATAGAGATGGCTTGTCTTTGCAGCGGTGCATTGAGGAAAACGTGGCCTCCAATTGAAGAAGGCGCTGTTATGCCAAACCCAGCATCACCAAGATGATAACGCGATGGTGGCACCACAAGGGACTTCAGTAAAGCTTTTCACAATATTAATATACTGCATACTCCATTGGGCTGGCTTCTTCTCCGCCGCTGCCCATACTTGACTGATGGCCGTAGGGATCCCCTGAGCTCGTCATGATATGTTGTCAGAAAACAGCGGAAGCTGGCGACACAGTGTCAAGCCGCCAAGTCACATACTATTGCCGGCCAATTTGGGCACTTTTGCCAACATTGAAGATGGAACGTTGGAACCTGGATGCCAGCGCGGGCGAATGCTACCTGGACCTTGCAGTACCAAATTTCAGATTTCAATAGTCGACCCCGTCTAATATAATCAGGACAGCCCTGGTGCTTGTTAATTGCCCTTTGGTACAGATGGATGGCTCAATTCGGCTCAAGGCATATTGTTACATACATACCTCCACCACACCCCTGCATGATAAAGTTGTGCCATGGACACGACTTCTCGCTTCGCATACGAAGTTTATTGTTTTTTTTTCTTCATCATCGCTTTGGCCAGCCAACTTCTTATTGTGTCGGGTCCACAATGATGCATGCAAGCAGCAAGGCAGGCATCCCATTGCTTTGCTGGGGATTCACGTAAGACAAAGAGTTATTTATTGGCAACGAGAGAGCGCGCCCTGGCTTCATTCATATCGCACGCAGCAGCTGTTTTTTTGTCATGCGTCGATGAGCTCATGCGGCTGTACACATAACAATGGGCTAACAGCTGCAAGACTGCGTTTCAGTTGGAACAATGTATCCTTTGTTTATGAAGAGTGAACATTTATCGCTTATGACGCCAATCGTCCTTTTGTTTGAATGCTTCGGATCTCGTCGACTAAAATGACCAGGCGTGAATAATTTTGACACAGCCGAGCAACAATGACATTCTTTTTGAAATCTAGAAAGACTGCTTGCCAATTTAGCCAGTTGCGACAAATTCTGGCACAGCCACATTGAGAACAGAATGCCCAGCCACCGCGGGGCTTGCGAGTGGTGCAACTCGGATCCAGCCGGGGGCCAACCGCGCCTCAGGCACCAAAAAATTGACCCCCCGGGATGTGACGCAGCCGAACTGGTGCCGGAAATTTCCAGGCCGCAGACCGGATCACGAGCTGCCAGAGGAACATAATTGTCGCACTGCCATTGTGCTCGACAAGATGGGTGCCAACGCGTCAAAGCAAGAGGTCAATGGCCAGTACGAGTGGAAGGCGTAAGTCCAACTCGACCGTTCCCCCCCCCCCCCCCCCCCCCCCCCACCCCCCCCCGTGCCC